CTTTACACTTTACTTTTCTCACTCCTTCAGGATAGGACAGTGATATGATACTCACTATAATATTAACTCCTTTTTCAATATGTATTTGGAATACTAACGAATTTTTATCTATTTTTCATGTATTAATAAAGAATATGTTTTGTGATCTTACAATTTCCGTCTACACCTATTTTGGATTACAAGTTAATTAGGTATGATCTCGCTTGATGCTGCGCTGGATACAAGGTAAGAAGAATCATTTTGCTCTCTATTTTTATTAATTTGTTTTGAAATTTCGAGGCTATAAAATGTTTTACAACAAAAGATTATGAGACTGATGAACAGATCATAGCTAATTAAATAATAATAAAGAAAAAATTGTAAAAGCTAAACTCTAGTTTCATATTAAAACCGAAAATAAATTTTTCAACGATACAAAAATGTTGAAGTCAAGTCAAATGCAAATTGCAAAACTGAATTCCTGTAATTACTCAACATGGAAATTCAAAATGCAAATGCTGCTAATAAAGGAGGATCTTTACGATGTAATCGAAGATGTACCTCCAAGCCCCATTACAGAACAATGGAGTAAACGGGATCGGCAATGTCGCGCGATGATAAATTTATTTATCAATACAGCCAAATAATTCACATTAAACATGAAACTACTGCTAAAGCCACCTGGGAAAAACTCAGGCAGGTGAATGAAAGGTCTAATCTTTCAAGTAAACTATTTCTTTTGCGAAAGCTTTACAGTTTGAAGCCTGAAGAAAACGGAAATATGCAAACACATATAAATACATTACTGGAGTTAGTCGATAAACTCAAATCAATAGGTGAGAACATAAAAGACGAACAGGTTTCGGCACTTTTGCTTTGTTCAATGCCTAGTTCTTACGATACGCTCATTACGGCTCTTGAAGCCAGAGCAGAATCGGAACTGAATCCAGAATTCTTAAAAGGGAAATTAATTGACGAATTTAACAAGAGAGTTGAAAATAATTCATCAGATTATAAGGCATTTAAAGGCATTGAACAAACACCCGAAACTTCATTATGAATGACAAGATAGTGTAAACTGAAGTCTCTACAAATAATGTGTGGAGCTTGAAAGGAAGACAAGATGGTTTCTAAATCCTGCAGCAATAGAGTAATAGTTTCAGAGGCAGATGACTAAACACTTGAAGTAAGTAACCGGGAGTTGGAACAATTAGGACAGATTGTAATTAGGTCTCTTCAGGCTCTCATTAGGATTGGGTGCCATTTATGATTGAAACCGATGATAGCTGCTTTGAGATGTTTAGGAGACTGAGAAGAATATTGAAAAACGTTTCGAAGAAAGACCTTGGACTGGTCCTTATTTTCCGTTCAATACAATAGGCTCCTTGGATGAAAATAAAGTCTTTATGGTTTGGGATTTGAATTCTGCAAGATGGTCAGATGCTGTTTTTGCCTTTTGTAAGTTGATTTGGAGAATGTAAACTGAAGAAAATAGCATATAGTTTTTAGCAAGGTTGGAGGTAGTAGGTTTTATACATTACTGTACATACTAAAATCTTGAGTAGGACCGTTGTTCTTTAAATTGCGTTCTTGCTTGTTAACTGCAACTGAAGAATTTTCAGTTCTGAATGTTGACTTCATGCCGGGTAGTGGCTTTGTCAGGATATAATAATTTGTTGAGTTGACTCCTATAAGTCTGGCATAATCTTCCTTGAGCGCTGTGATCAGTAGACAATGAAGAACGAGTTTCTTGCTTACTGTGCGAGCACAATTTACACAGCCTTTTATGTTTGAGGAACACTCTTTGTGAAAGTTGTTTTGCGCAAATGGAACAGAAGGGAGAATTCTGACAATTACGACTATTGTGTTCAAGACCCTGGCAGTGAATATAACGTGCATGTGAAATGTTAGGACGGAAAGAACACTATGAATCCTATGAAGACGCTTTATGAAGTAAAACAGCCACAAGAATCTCAGAAAATTTCTAGAATCCAATTATTTGTAGTTTTAGATCGGCGAATTGGAGAACATGGAGGGATATCAAGATTATTATTTGATGTAATTCTCAGAAAGGCCGGTTTCTGCTGAAGAGGATACATTAAATACTGTTTGCCTAGTACTTTTGGGTTCTGAAGTACGAAAAATCGCGCAGGTGAGGTTTCAATGATTGAGCGGTGTAAATGTTCTAAGTCTGTTTTCTTTCGAAAATGATTAAAAGCTCTTTAGACTTAGTAGCATTATTGATACGAATACCCAGTTTTTTGTGGATTAATTGCTGAACTTAGTTGATATCTTATATCGTCATGTGTTCTCTCTGAATCTTTAGGTGTTAGGAATAAAATAGGATCTATGATTTGATCTTTTGGAGCCTTTTTTGGAGGAATAATTTTGGCTGAAGCAATGGTGTAGGAATTTGGGGATTGTTCTACAAAGTTTGTTTCGATAAATTTTTAACTCGTTGTTATTATTGCTGCAAATGTTCCCTCACTTCAGAAATAACTGAAGTGTTTGAATGTTGAAGACAGTTGCTCTCTCAGTCCCTTCCTGCTTTTCTAGAGTATTTTCTTGATCTGCCACTATTTGACGAAGAGCTGATAAATGGCCAGAAATAACTTTTTGTTCTTGGTTTCCAGAAATAACTTTATATTTTTAAGTTTTCTATTTTTGCAGATATATAGTTGGTCTTTAATTTCATCAAGTTTTCGTCGTAGGTTGTTGAATCATGTGATATAAGATTGAAATCGGGGAGCAAAAGATACATTTTTAAATTTTCAACGATTGATGGCATTTTAAATAGATGGTAGGATAATGATAGATTTATACAGACAAGGAGTGCATCAGCCAAGTTTGGAACAGACAAAATAGAAAACAGCGAGACACCGGCCATGTGTATCTTAAGCGAACCATTTAAAGATACTTTCGGCCCCCGCATTACTCAAAAATTAGATCAAATCTACAAACTTGTAATTTTGTATGTCTAATAGAGCTCATTTGAACGAATTGGAACAAATAGAATCCCAAATTTCATTAATCTACTTCTTATAGTTATGGAAAGCGTCATTTTTATCACTCACTCACTGACTCACTCATCAAAAACCTAGACCACTTCTAAATGACTTATATACTTTAAATCTGGCATTAAGGTGGCATTGGGCATATACAAAGAAAAAAATCAAAATTTCAAAAAACTACATTATCTCGAGGTTAAACCAAATAATACTCATAACGAGCATTTGACAACGTCACCAATAGATGGCGTTGCACCGATTGCAGGTTTCCGCGCCGCTCAAATGCCGAAAGTGAAGAATTGCCAGAGTTTTGCCAAAAGTGAAGAATAAAAACCTTTTTATAATAAATGAAATGATAGCGCAGAGCACTACCAGCTCCTTTTTCATTTTGGTAGTGGGTTCGGGCTCAACTACAGCGACAAACTAACTACAGGCGATATCGCGAAAAGAACGTAAACAGTTTTTCAAACGATAAAAGCGTTGCAGTTCAGTAACTCAAATTTATGTAACGAAACAGATGCGAGACGCAAATAAAACAGCAGAAAAAAAAAAAAAAAAAAGAAAAGAAACGTGAAATCTGTACTTTAAAATAAGATTTTGAACATTTATATTGTTTAATAATTAAAAATAGCTGTTTAAACTTATTGCTTACGTTTTTACATCTCTTTAAAAATCTAAAACTTAGAAAAAAAAAAAAAAACAGTGCAGTGTAACAGTGTAAAACAAGAAAATAAAAATTGAAGATTGCGTATTTATTTAGACGCTTTTTCATGTAAGTGTCTCAATAAGAACATAACCTTTGATTTGGCTTTTCAAAAAATATTGACATCATAACAATAACATTAATGTGAAAAAAAGGGGACAAGTTCGGAAGAAGCCACTGACAAAAGAGTTGAGATCTAATGGATGGCAAGTTCCATAGCAGTTTCTTTAATAATAGCTGTACGAACTTATAACGTTCTTCAAGAACACAGTTGTTGACAGGTCATGTTCCTGAACAGATTCAGACTTAGGGATACTCCTTTCTGCAAATGCGGAGAGGAAGGCGACACGGACAATTATTACTTCCATTGTTACATACAAGAACCTGCCACTTGAAGAAACCAGCGGACTGTGCCTGGGCAATGTGGACATCTAACACACTCAAAAACAGAATAGCCCTTGATAAAATAGAGAAAATCTCACACTGCCTAAGCAGAAACAACCGTGAATAATATTATGTTTGAAATGTTCAGAACTTAAAGCAGATAACCAGCATAACGCTTAGTGACTGCAGTTATCAATATGTAAAAACTGTTATACTTTGGAGTCTTCCCCCGTTTGGTTCCTGTCCGTGGTCGGAAGCCATCATAGCGGTGCACTCACTCACTCGCTCATTTTAAAAACAATTTATTGCTTTCTTTGATATCAGATTTCTAACTGGAGAAGTCAAACTTTTTGAACGTAATTTATTGACAATTAAAACTTGCTGAGTACCCAAGTCATATATCCTAAGTCATCCTTTCGAGATATAAAAACCACACATCCAATTTCTTCACTCCACTGAGAAGAACGAGAGATATAAAACTATCGCATTTCCTTTTTGACTCGCTGCACTATTAAATTATAAGCTGTCGTTGACAGAAAATACATAAATAATGTGATCTCATCTGCCATCACTGGTGTTACCCTATTAATTTTTCTTACGCTTTTTGTATTTTCGATAGACATTTTTGTTTTATACTGATGGTTTGTGATAGTAATTTTTTATGATACTTTAATATATTAATTTAACTTCACGTTTAGAGAAGGTCCAATTAATCTACAATTCGATAAATCGGGAAATGACTGCGTAAAATTTCGTTGAGATAAATTTTGGAACTTAAATCATGGTATAAAATAATTAGGAACACAGAGAAAAATGAGGTGATACAAATCCTGTAGTATCGCTCAAATCGATTACGTAGGTTTTTTATAATATATTTAATTATAAAGCTTTCTAAAATAAAAATAATCGCATCTCTTCACTTTAAGGTACCGAACAGAAGCTGCGCATTAAACGGCAAGCCCCACATGATGACTGGTGTTCTTTTCCAACTGGAACGAAGCATGGAGATTTAGACTGCACGGTGTGGTCCTATCAAAAGTAAGTAACGTTCCAATCCTGCGTCATTTTCTTAATTTTCATTATTTATACCCAGTATTGTTTTCGCTTGGCATATAAATCCCTCTCCCCCTCCAAAAAAGAAAATATAAGACAAAATATATAGTATAGTTATGCAGAGTGATTTTAAATTGTTTTTACAAATTAAGAGGGATGATAGTACTCATTCAGATAAGCAATAATTACCATAGAACATAGGGTTGCATTCCACTCTGAGAGGCAGAAAAGAGGAATAGATTTCAACCAGAACTTACAACAGTGTTAGGAGAGAGAATGAAAGAGATCAAAAGTTGGACAATGACAAAATCTCACAGAGTGCACAAAACGGATAAAACCAAAAACTTAGCGTTCGAGTGTTAATTCCAGCTCAAACTTTGATGGCAAACACTTCTGTGATTTAGAAGGTCTGAACCTCGCAAACGATTGCAACAAGTTAATTAGCAAACCAAGGGCTGAATATTATCAACTAACTCCACCTCACGGTAGTTTTGATACTATTTCAATGTAGCAACATTTTTACCTTTGCCATCATCTATCCTGTCCTCCTGAGCTTACTGTGCTGCGCTCATTCTACTAGAAGCGCCCTTCTATGGGATACGAAGTTCTGACAACCGAAATACAGCATGAACTTTTCATTTTAATCTCGGCATACAGCGGAAGTTGGACTTGGTTGAAAATATTCAATCCTTGATTAGACTCGTTGCAATCGTTTGCGAAGTTGAGACCTTCCGAAACAAACATGTGCATATGAGTATTTGCCATCAGAGCTCGAATTAACACTCGAACATCAAGTTTTCGGTTTTATCCGTTTTGTGAACTCTCTGTGAGTTTTTCCCTAAAGTCATTGCCCAACTTTTGGTCTCTTTCACTCGCTCTGCTAACACTGTTGTAAGTTCAGGTTGAAATCTAATATTCCTCTTTTCTGCCTCTTAGAGTAGTGGAATACGACCCTATGTTCTATGGTAATTATTGTTCATCTGGATGAGTACTATCATCTCTTTTAGGTTGCAAAAACAATTTAGAATCACCCTGTATATAAAAAGTTAAGCGCAATTTAGTTGAACTTAATTTTTTATATATAGGGTGATTCTAAATTGTTTTTGCAACTTAAAAAAAGATGATAGTACTCATCCAGATGAGCAATAATTACCATAGAACATAGGGTCGTATTCCATTCTGAGAGGCAGAAAAGAGGAATATTAGATTTCAGCGAACTTAACTTTCTATATTAGGCGCAATTTAGTTGCCTGAAGATCGTTTTATACAGGTTTTAGTTTCTTAATTACTGATGTTACATGTACTTTCGACCCGATTAATAGCATTGCTTAATTAACAGTTTAGTTTTAATGTTACATAATACCCGATTAATAGCATCTCTTATACATCTGTTATAGTCCAAACTATAACGCCCATTCGCCAAATCCTGGGTAAGGAGAATCATCATCCAACACCCTTTTGGTTCGGGCGCCACTGTAGAAACATTAGGTATTTTTTTTTAAAACGGCAAGATGAAAAATTAGCAAACGCCTTCGCCGGGAATCGAACCATAGACCTCCGGAATACCGGCCCAGCGTGCAGAACCACTACACTACCAAAGCACGCTAGGAAGGCGGGAGAGATTCCTTACAATATGAGCCCACCTTAGAAAGTCCTCCACAAATGCATCTCTATCCTTAAGTAAGTAGCCCTAATGCACTTGGTCACTTTAAACTAAATAAACAGTCAGGAAAATATATAACTTTCAGACATGTGATTTTGAAAACTACAGATGAGAGAATGGATTTTTTTCTACTCTTAAGACAACACATGTGTAAAATGAATATGGGCCAGTTTTCCTTAGAAAAACCTCCAAAAAGGCATTATTCTGCTTAAGCAGACATCCTTAATGTGCTTCGCCGTCATTTTATTATCTTACAAAAGGCTGAGTTTTTGGAGGCATTTCTATGGGAAACTAGCTTGTATTTGTACTGTGGTGAGGAAATTGATAAAAACCTCAGACAACCAGTTTAATCAAATGCAGAAAATAGAACCCACAAAAGAACATTTATTAGCAACGTTAGCCTTTCGTGACTTCAGCCCCTTAGCCTATCTTAATCTATTTGATTTGATTAATGTCTGTAACTTGAATCAAGGATTTATTGATAAACTAACTACTCAACAGATTTTAACAAACTTTATTAAACATCATGTCTACAGCATCCGATATTATCCACGGTTTAAAGTATTCGAGGATAGTGGCGGAATTAAAATATTTTCATCAGTTTTCTTTGAACGTAGTTCTTTCAGCATCATGAAATGAAAGTTCAATTTCCGCAGGAGATGTGTTTTGAAATGTCATCCAGGATACCTGTACCATGGAAAAGACGAAGCCCGATTCACCTGCGCTCGCAAAACAGGGAAGTGGATTCCTGATATGGAAGCCTGCACTGCCGATTCTAACACGAGTCATCATAAAAGGGCACCGCATCACAGCCATGGCCTCGACAGAAGTAAGCTTTTCTCTAAGCAGGCTGATCGTAACTTTATTAGATAGGAAAATCAACCATCTGTATCTAAATCTAGTTCGATAAGTTTGGTAACAACTGCAAAAAATATATTCCAAAATCTTAAATATTCGCAGAATTTCTCTGAAAATTTGTTCCTATTTATCTTTTGCATGCTAAGAGAAAATAAATGCTCACAGATGTATGCACTTAAAAGAAAAAAAAAAGGAAAAAAATCTGAAAGGTTAGATTTTAAATTACTCCTAAGGGGCGTTTTTTTAACAGTTTGTGTGCTACCTTTATTTATTAAATATCATGTTCTTCGCCCTTAAACCATACAATTCAGTTAAATAAAGAGCAATATAGCAAAATAATTTTAAATTGAGCATATCCTTTAGAATTTCCGATACACAGTCTCACGCGTTAGAAATAAAAATATTTTTTTTCTGTACAACGTTGCCACTGCTCGCTTTGAAATCTTGAGTTTGTCAATCAGAAATTCGTTAAAGTTTTACAAACTATGAAATCGATAATAAAACAACTTCCAAATTTCAAATTTTGGCTTAAAGATGTCCATATTCGCAGTAGGATTACGTCATTCATAATTCGATGACTCTAGGTAACGTTGTTTTGTCACAATGCGAGAAACATATATATATACATTTATGCAAATTCTTCATTATTTAATTTCTTCAAATATAATACAAGGCGATAATATTTGGTGGCAACAATTTGAAAAGTGATACAGCCTTTTAAAGCTTTCAACGCAAAATGCTAAAACGAAAATGCTAAACGCAATTTCAACTAAACTTTGAAGACTGCAATTCTTTGGAACATCATCAATGAGTTGTTTTCGGCCTCAATGATGTATATTCAGTTCATTGAATAAAATACAAATCATCCAGTTAGTTGTCGTTTTCAAATTTAGCGACGCACGTTTTCAGTTCAGCAATCAGCTTGTAGGCTTACTCTTCAGTTTCGTTTACGCGACTCTGTGAACTGTATATGGCCTGCGGATTGGATAAACTACTTTGAACTAAACTTTGAAGACTGCAATTCTTTGGAACATTATCAATGAGTTGTTTTCGGCCTCAATGATGTATATTCAGTTCATTGAATAAAATACAAATCATTCAGTTAGTTGTCGTTTTCAAATTTAGCGACGCACGTTTTCAGTTCAGCAACCAGCTTGTATGCTTACTCTTCAGTTTCGTTTACACGACTCTGTGAACTGTATATGGCCCGCGGATTGGATAAATCTCATCGAAAGAAAAGCAAATTATTGAAAACACGTACCTTTCTATTCTTGTCGAACAAATTACGGTTACCACATAAAAATGATTGATTATCTTACATTTATTTTCATACAATGACTGACATGCCTTTCATAACTTAATTATTTATAAAAATTGAAATTGAAAAAAAATTGTACAAAATGTAACCTGAAGGACCGGCAATAAAATGGGAACGTCTCATTTAAGATGGTACATACAGTCATCCTAGAATTAACCAAACATCTCTAAGCTATTAATATTAAAACTGAAACCCCTTCTACATGTTAAAATTCATCGGCAGATTTTGTACTTATACAGCTCTAAGTTTTGAATTCCTGTTCCTTATTAATTTTGAATTCATAATTATTTCCCAACAGGCAAAAATCAGCATGGAGACAAATCTGAAAATGAACTGGCCTACAGTAATACTCTGGACGCTAAAGAATCAAAAGCACATACAAAAGGAAAGCCGACTACAGTAATGCATGGCAACCGTGCAGAAACCAAGCAAAAATCTGCTCCTAATAAACAATTAAGCGTCACATCTGTACCACTAGCAGAAGATATAAAGCTCTAAAAGGGAAATGGGACAAAATCATCCGAAGATAAAGAACATGAATTAGGTTTAGAATAACTTATAAATTAAAAGAAATGCTTGAGCAGAATGCTTTATAGAACATGATCTGAAATAATAGTGAACATTGTAACTAATTTTCAAACTACTTATTTTTAATATGAAAATAATAAATTAATATTTTATTTTTAGGGATCCATTGGTAATAAAATGTATACCATTATTCTGTTCTGAATTATTTGTTTCACATACTATAAGCTGAACAACGAACTTTAGCAACTTTACTCATATTTTATAATTTAGAACAAGATTTCTTAACTGAATCAGTTAATCAATTAAGTAATATTTTTTTTCTATACAGTGTAATTAATTCAAGCAATCTTCCCATTTTTGTAAAGTACAACTAAACTCCCTAATTATACAGGACGATTCCTTCACTGGGAGCCTCAGGTATTGTTTATAAAGAACTGTATTATGAAGAACAATTGTATTACTAAAATTTATGACTCAGATTGACTATCTTTGACGACGTAAATCAGAACCTGATCATACTCTATAAGTAAAATTGTCTTCTTTTACATCCAAGGATATATGAATGCGTTTCTTCAAGTCCTGCACTACTTTTTCTAAAAATGTCGAAATTTATGACTTGAGTCTCTTGTCATATAGCGGTTTTAAGTTATTCGATTGTGTGAGGTTTATTTGCGTACATTTTACCCTTCAATAGGACCCAAAGAGAAGTCAACATACTTCAGAATAATTCTGAGAAGTCAAAATCGCACTTCAAATCTCAGTTCCTTAAATTTTTGCTGACAAAATTACCTAAAAAATTCCTTGGTGAGCTAGAATTCCCTATCCAGGCCTTGCCAACATTTTTATTTTGGAATGTACCAAAAAAAAAAAAAAAAAAAAAAAAAAAAACACAATGGACAACTATAAGACACTACAAGCCAAGATTCAAGCCATCAAATTCGATATTTTGAGGAGTGTATTTCAGAATTAGGAGCTTGGATGTGAAAGACCATGTTCAGCTTCGATTATGAACCGGTCTTATTTTTATCATTTAGGTTATGTATATATAAATTTTGAAGTCACTTTCTCAGTAACGTTACTTTTTTAAACGCAGGAGTTTGAGATCCCAAGAGATAAAATCACTTTATATAGAGCATATGCCGATTAACGTGATCACGCTTGTCCGTAACTATTTTGATAACACTAACCGAATGATAACATCTATCAATGAGAAAAATATCCTTAAAATGCCAAAATAGTTTATTTAATTAAAAATAAATGCAACTATAAGTATATAAATACTTACCTTCACAGCATTTTAATTTTAAAAAATGGTTATTAATAGCTGATTGTTCGCTATGCAAAAGTTCATTTTTGAAATGTTCATATATATATATTGTTTCAAGAAATTATTTGACTCATGCTGCACCAATAATCTTAATACTCGTAGAGCATACCTCACCTTAGCATTTTCGTCGTCTTCTTCATTAGCATTCGTCATCTTCTTCAGCAAGTTTGATAGGCAAACAGCAGATAGCTTGTCAACCAAATATCATTGATTCTGCAACGTTCATTAATTTCCCAATAGCGTTAAATTTCTTACAATTCATGTTTTTAATTTAAACATGAATTCATGTTTTTAATTTAAACATGAATCTTACAATTCATGTTTAAGAGGTTTTTAATTCTTCAATTTCCTCTATTCATCATTTATTAAAAGGTTGGCACGTTTAAAATAATTCATTACAGTACTTTTTCAGACACGGTTCAGCGACACGTTTAACAAATGTGGTGCATCAAGAAGGCTAGTTTTCCTAGTTAATTCATTTCCAGTTCCATATTGTCCGTGTTATATTGCCAAGCTGGCAACGATCGAGTGGCCAAGTGGTTAAGTATATAAATAAAACCAAGTGGTATAGAATGGTAGTTATGGTAGTTCAACCCTGGTAAATGAGCCGGGTACATAAGTATTTTTGTGTTCTTTGACAAGTGCCAGTTTTCCTTAGAAAGTCCTTCACAAAAGCATTCTCCCTTTAAGCAGATGGAACTTGAGTTTGGTTGCATTCAAATAAACAACCAATCTTAAAATAGCTATCATATGCTCTGACTTAATCAAATAACCAGCCTGTAGTCACGAAGAGACATCTTTACGCCCCCACCCTCTTTCGACTCAGAGACCCCTTTCTGATAATTTTTACACATCCCTCTTATAACCTGTAGCATGAATATGGTGACAGATTTTCTTTTTATAGAAACTCCAATTTAGTCTATTCCTCTTCTCAGTAACAAAGTGATTAACAAAATTCAGCTTAATGCTGTCGATTTCTACCAGCATCCTTTTCTGTTGCCAGCTGTTATCAGGCTAGCCTGGAGGTTTGTGGCTGTACTCTGTTGTAAGCTAAACTTTTAATTCATTCTAGCTAGAGTTTCTCAATTTATATCAGGCTTTGTGTTGTCTGTACAAGTGAAAATACCACATGAATAGAAAACAAATTAACATGACAATGGAAATGAAACTGGAGAAGTGAACAGAGAGAAAAGTATTAACTATACTGCCATAGATTTAGGTGATGGATGAAATATTATGGGTTGTTAATAACTCATGCCTTCTTGTGTAAAACTCGACATTTTCAGTAACTCATCACTCTCTGAGTCCACTTTAGGTTGAGTCTGGAACACTTTGCTGTATTACATTTTCAACAATTCTGCTCCTTTCAGTACTTACAACAACTGTAAATTTATATCTGAGCTGGGGTGCAATAAAAAGTTCTTATAAAATTGCTAACTACTGCATCTTTGCTTGTCTTCTCTTCTGTACTTAAAAAAGAATTTCTAGCAGTTAAAAAAATTCAGACTCTTATAACCATTTGTTAAAATTCCTCATTTTTCTTAATAAATAAAAGTTCATCAAGTCCCATTTTTGTGCCATTATTTCAACAACCAAATAAGAATACAAATGTGGAATCGGGAAAGCCCAAATGAATATTCTCTATAAATATGCAGATTATGTAGAATTTGTAATTCTTTATATTTACAAACTCAATTTGTTTCTGCAAATTAGTTGTGAGAACTTTGCTTGTACAATGTTAGATTAGTCCCAGGAAGAAGGTCAGTTTAGCTATCTGCACCAAGGCAATCTGCTTAATAAATGTTCATTTTGTCTTGTACTATAGAAATTGTTTTCTGGAGCTAAGTTCATTTGTCAGCATAACAATGCATATATCAAATGCAAGCTAAACTTGTTTATGATCATTAAGGTGTTTAGGCGAAGCATGAAAGACTAAAAAGGCTGAAACTCACTGTGGTAACTGAAACTACCTTTTAAGGAGTTATGTATTACATTTCTTGAAACATTATCTTAGAACTGACTTCAGAAAGTACTTAGAATTCAATAGTGAAGGATATTTCTGCACCAAAGAATATTACACGATGCATTAGAAATATCTTTCATTAAATTATGATCACACTGCACTTGTTTACAAAAGCTATCAGATGTACTATAATTATAGAAATTTAGTTACATTTTAAGTTATATCAATGCATCATTAAAAATTAAACATAAAAATTATTGAGATATTTCTTTTAAATCATTCTCTTTGATAAGCAATGTACAGTTTTAATTTCAACATTCTCTTTGTTAAGTAATGCACAGTTTTAATTCCAAAGTCAACAAAGATCTTATGGGATATATAGAAATGCAGTATCTGAGAAAGGACAAATCACCAGACCACGGGGATGATAAAGACCAATGTACTGTATACACAGGCAATCCTTTCAGAGCTAGCAATTCTCCATGCCACATAAATTATTAATGCCACGATATTATAATATACGGTAACATGACATGTAAAATGGAAAGACTAAATTACAGATACTTTTAACTTAAAAATACTCCATAAAACAAACCAATAAATATAATAATTTTAAGAGAGCTATTAAAGCACACCATTATTTGATTAAGATATAAATGTCATGACACAGCATTCCATGGACAGTTTAAATTCTCATTACAAAAAATCGCAATTATCGAAGTTTTAAGATTTTCTACTTTCACAGAATTCAAGCTGAAATTCCTTATTATTATTAGCACTTCACCTTTGAACACTTAATGCATACTGTAGTAAATTAAAATAAAAACTATCAAAATTAATGAATCATAGCATACTGCAAAAAGGGAAGAAAAAGAGTTTAATAAATATTAACTTTATTACAATAAATTTATAATTTATATACATAAATTATCAATCATCTTTTTTCTCATCTTTCCAAATAAATTTATAATTTTCCTCCAGTTTTTTATGCCTTTCCATTTCTTGAACTGCCTCTTGCTGTCCAGTCTGAAAAAGATACATTTCCAAATAAATATAAAACATCTCAAAAAGGTCTTCAAAAAATAAATAGATAGATATAATTATGCATAAAATAGGTAAACTGAGCGCCTAAATTAAGATATTCTTAAATCAAAGTAGTTTAAAACATATTGGCATGTGTAGTTAGAAGATTCAGTTATTTACAGCTTTAAACTCTACAGTTTATGGAGTTTGATATTTAAAGAAATTCCAAAATTAAATATGACAGATTATACTGATGAATTTATAATATTTTAATAAGGTGATATGATACATGATAAAGTGAACCCCTACAGAAAAATTCTTAATATGCAGCAGATGAAAAAGAAGTTGTGGAGAATTCTTTATTTGCCCGCTGACCCGAAAGAGGGCGATACCAGCTTTCTCCCTCTTGTCCAGTAGGAGAAAATTTGGACTGATTCTACACTCTGTTCTTTTGCTCTTTTTTGAATATTTGGCTATGCCATTCAGTTTACATAATTCAGGCCAAACTTTCCAATGTTTTGTACATGATGTTAACTTTCCAATGTTTTATACATGAAGTTTTACTTGGATTGTATTTTTGCATCCCTTATCTTGGCAACATCCTTATTGCATCGACTAATGAAGAAGAGCACATAAGCCATCTTCGTCAAGTATTTGATCATTTGAATAAAAAATGTTTGACTTTAAACCCTAGCAAATGAGTACTCGGAAAACCATCTGTTTCCTTTTTAGGTTGCCTTATCACTGCCTCAGATGTAAAACCACTGCCCGAAAAAACAAAAGCAATTGCCAACTTCCCAAAACCTACCACTATAATCAAGCTTAGGCGTTTCTTAGCCATAATAAACTTCTATTGCCACTTGTTACCAAAAGCAGCTGAGACCCCAAGCTTCACTGAATAACCTCCTTAAAGATTCATGGAAAAATGATAAACACCCCCTACCTTGGAACGACAAACTTAATAAGGCATTTGAAAAATAATGGTGTGACTCTCTCTTATTCTCCTAGCCTAAAGCTGAGTATTATGGTCAATGCTTCTGATGCTTCCATTGGAGCTGTCATAAACATTCGATACTCTAACAATTACCAGCTGCTACGGTTTTTCTCGTGGAAGCTATCTCTTACCAAACAAAAGTACAACACATATGATAGAGAGTTATTAGCCATTTATGCAGCTATAAAATACTTCAGGAATAATCTCAAAGGTCAACACTTTACTATATTTACTGATCATTGACCTCTAACTTACACATTCACATCAAAATCAAATTCTGCTTCCCCGCGACAAATTCGGCATTTGAATTTTATAACTCAGTTCAGCACGGATATTCAGCGTATGTCAGGTTCCAGTAATGTTGTGGCAGATACTCTCTCGTGTATTCAAAGCATCGATACCAATGCACCACTGGATTTCTCTCTTATTACTCACTCGCAAGCCACAGATGAGGAGTTGAAACATCTCAGTGAAGACTCAAACTGCTCATTGAAATTCAAGTCATTACAACTTACTCTGGACCTCTAATTACTTTGTGATACTTCTAATAACAGATTTCGACCTTACGTACCACTTTGACTTCAGAAAAAAACGTTTTTGACTGTTTCCACAGTCTATTGCATCCAGGTATTTGGGCATTCAAAAAAAGCTCATACAAGAAAGATTCATTTGGCCATCCATGCTAAAGGGCACTGCCAACTCGACTCATTCCTGTATCATGTACCAATGTTTGAAAGTTACCCAGCACTCACATAGACCTTTGAAAAAAATTGCCATGCCCTTCGAGCGATTTGAGTTCATATAGACATCGTTGGTCCTCTGCCGCCATCTGAAGGTTACCGATATCTGCTTTATCTGCATTGACAAATTTACTCATTGGCCTGAAGCTAGGACTTTTCTGCTGACTCTGTGGCTCAACAATTCATCTCCGGTTGAATTGCACGATTTGGTGTACCATCAATGGTGACAATTCGATTAAGGCTGACAATTCCAGTAACACCTTTTCACTTCTCTAACATCTATGCTTGGAATACACCGAATTCGCACTTTGCCATATGATCCTTCCGCAAACAGCTTAGTGGAACGTTTTCACTGCCACCTAAAAGTACCATAATGACACCCATTGGACTACATCACTCCCTCTTTTGCTTGAAGGAAGAATGTAAACCCCATTCTTCCTTCAAGCAAGACCTCGCAGGTACATCCGCTGAACTTGTCTACAGCCCGACGCTTTGATTGCCATCTGAGTTCTTTCAATCATCCTCTGTTCCAACAGATCCATCATCCTTCCTCCAGACTTTCCGAGAAGCAATGAAAATCCTGCCTTCGACTCCTACATCAAGCCACAATAAATCAGCCTCATTCGTACACCCTGCACTGAACACTTACATGTTTGTGCTTAATGAAACAGTAAACCCCTGCGCTCACTGCTCCATACAACGGAACCTTCAAAGTTTGTGCATGTAACAATAAGCATTTCACTATTCTCATGTGCGACAAAGAAACCGTTCTGGGAATAGACCGACTGAAGCTTCAAATTCTGAGATTCCTGTGACCGGTGATGATCCTAATCTCCTGGATCCACCTGCTTCTCCAGACCCTCCTCCTTCGCTCGACCTTATGCTTTCTCCCAGTGCTCCACAAGTCGCTACACGTTTGGGAAGACGTGTTCTTCAACACCAGATACTTGTGAATTATTTTTTTCTTTGTACCTGTGGTACTTAGAGGGGGGGAATACCACGGAGAACTCTATCCGCTGACCCAAAAGAAGGCACTACCAGCTTTCTTCCTTTTGTTCAGTAGGGAAAAATTTGGACTGGTTTTACACTCTGTTCCTGGCTGCTGTCGGTGAAGCATGAACTCATCTCTTTTCTGCCTCGTGATGCCTACATACTTGTCCTACAACTTTTATGCTTACTGCTAACATGGAGTTACTACCTGTAAAATTCTCATGTCGAGTGACTTACATCTGATGTTATTTTGATTATTAGTGAACCTGTGTTAAAGTATATATATTTTCAAACCTTAATAAAAATGGTAATGTGAACAAGATATCGTTGTTATACCTGCAGCAACAGCAGCACACACGCCACTCTAAAGCCACAACATCGGTAGATACTCATTTGGTTACAGTCTTTAATGATCATGCATCTTCAATGCCACAATCAGAAAATGCAATGCTGTATTCAGGTACAGAAAACCATCATATGAAGGTGATTATAAACAAGGCCTCAGAATATACTTGATCACCAAAGAATGCAAAATAGTCTAAGAATATGCAATGGAAAATTAATGAATGATAATTTCTAAACAATGGAAATGGACCTCACTGTTAGAACAGCAGAAAATCCTGATGAAAAATTGGGTATAGCAAAGATCAGAGAAGTATTAACCATTAAGAAATATATGCACATGCTTAGGGTATCAAAGAAAGGGGGCACCAAAAATTTCCTATTGCTGGTCTTACTATGCATGGTGCAGCTAAATCAAAACTGAGAGAGTGAGTGAGTGATAAATGGGAGACATGGGCACAATTCTTTTACCATTATCAATAATTGGTGCTGCACCACATCCACTTTTATCTACAGCAAACCATATGGATGGTAAACTGGGGCAATAATAATAATGTTAATAATAATAAAAAGAGGCAAACTGTTTTTAGGAACTGTTTCACCAATAAGATCATTTTTTAAAGACCATTTTTTATTCATGATTTGTAACAAGATATGAGACCAGATACAGCTTCATGAATGAAACTCACATATGAAAAAAGACAGCATAATGTACAATCATAGAAGATCTCTATTCCACAAAATCAGAACACATGAATCTGTTAAGAAGACCTGGTCACAATTTATTGAAATAAAGATGGTCAATTACTCATTAGTCATTTACTGTAAAACATTGTGTGATAACAGGTAATATGCTAACTTATTCACTACACTCCAACAAGACATTCAGGAAAAAGATCTATAGCAAATTCAGCAAATACAAGTTATACTTGCACACAAAATAAAAGCACAAAAGGCTCAGATTCCTAGAGTACTACTAAGCAATGATAATTTTAGCTTTTCCCTAGTCAGATATATTTATTTATGGCTCCAAATTATTCCCCCCCCCAAAAAAATGGGAACAGGATATTTCACATTATGTGACAATGATGTGAAAGATACAGAATGGTTTCAAAGCTGCAACAAAACACTTCTTCATGCTAAAATTCAACACCTTACTGATCAAAGTACTAAATTTTCTGAAACTGCAGGAAACTACATGGAGTGTATTGCATAAGTTAGTTTTGATATTTAAGTATGTCAGTTTTTAAACTTACTATGTGCCCCTTTAGTATTTCTTAGAAAACTTTGTAGCTAAAATAATTAAAAACCGCTTAAAAAATTTATTTTCCACATAGATTTCAGTAAAATTAGCTCAACCAGCACATAAATTACATCTGTGTGCCCTCAAAATCGATAGAGTCTTAACTAAATTCTAAGCCAAACACAAGGTTATTGCTTTGCTAATTCTATGTTTTACTTTAGCATGTTTCTCTTTTGTTTTGACAGAGAATTCTATATTCAATTTTTTAACCATCTTGTTAATCAAATCCATAAAAATAATTCCTTAAAATTACCAACAATGCCATGATCATATTTTGGAATTGATTAGTTTCTTCATCAGATAAAGAATGGAAATCTTTCCCATCTTCATTGTCATAGTAGCCAGCTGTAATTATTTTCACTTCAATTCTTCGACCTAGAAGAGTTTTCCAGACTATGGAAACATTGATTACATAAAATAACAACGAAATAGTATATATTATTTTAAGACAATGCATTAAAGTATGTAATAAGAAAATAAATGTATAAAATAAAAAAAAACTTTGGTATGTTTAATGCAAAATCTTTAGATTTTAATGAAACATATCCTAATAAAAAAATTACTATGACAAATAATAGAATTATATCTTAAAATAATCCAATAAACACAAGCAATATTAAATACAAAACTATCCAATCTAAGATTTTTTATCTAATTTTAAATTATGTTTATCTGCTATTTAAAAATATTTTGATCTTATGAAAATTATATTTCTTATGTGTTAAATTATCTAATTATATGAATTTGCAAATAATTACAGTTCATCTTTTACCATTCATAATACAAGACATTTCCCCCTTTGAAAGATGTTTTCAAATTTCTTATATTTCATCTTTTTCAAACTACTGGTTTACACACAAATGAATATATCAGATTTATTAAACTATTGTTCTAAATCAATTCTACTATCATATATTTTCTACAGAAATTTTAAACTTCAATGCATATCCTTGTATCCAAATACATTTCAAGAGAATGAATACTTTAAATTGTACCAACACAGAAATTAAACCTACAACCTGAACAGAAAATACATGCCCATTCAATAGAAGTTTTGTGCAAATTGTGCAACATGTAAAGACTATAGTAAAATAAATAAAAGGAGAACTACAAAATCTCATAATGCTAAAATTAAATATAATCGATAAAATTAACTCATCCTAATTTTGTTTAAATCTTTAATGCATTAAGATGAAATAGAAGCCAGATCAACATAAAATTATCCCTAGAAAGGCATATAAGATTTTTTGTTTCAAATCAATACCATGTTAATCATAGCTTGCACATTTCTCAATAATTGAAAAATGTTTTCAACTTTCTGAAAGCATGAATTAAAACTTCAGCAAAACAATTTCAAATTACAAAAATTATTTTGCACTCTGAATATTTGTCATCACTAATAGAAAAGCAAAATAAAAACTCAAATTTACTGATCTAGAAGATTCAGATTTCTTCAACAGGTTTCACACAGATCTCATACATGAAAATTAAGAATTTTAAGACTATGAATGGGAAAAAAATTAAGAACCTATCAGCAAATGGGAACTAAATCAATTAAAACAACTATCTATGGACCTAAATTCCCTTTTGTAACACCATTCTAAGTATAAAATAAAAGTGTGTGTAGAATGACTTATTATTAAACACATTTTAATATTTAATATAACTGTAAGATAAATTTGAGAATAAAATCATTTCCTACAATTATCTTCAAATTAGAAAATATTTTTTTAAAACATTCATGATTTTATACTTGTAACAGTCATGCATATTTTAAAGATTTACATGGTCATTTTAATAAATCCATTTATATTTTAAATGTATATTTATCAAAATCACAATCTAGAAAAATCTCACAGTTTAAAATAACAGATAATTACACATACTTATTACATTAGTTTTAAAAAGGTTAGGTTAGGTTAATTGATTATGGCAAACCAATTTGAGGGCTATCTGCCTATGGAAAGGATGCCCTTTGTGGAGGACCTTTTTTTAAGGAAACTGGCTCATATCCATGTTACACTTGAGGAAAACCATGAAAACTCCATGGAATCAATCCATTTGTCAGGATCTGAACCTAGGTTGAACTACCAGTGTTCAACAACTTCATTGCTTGTCTGCTGGTAGGCTAGTTTAAAAAGTTACTAGCATATTGAAAACTGCAAATACTGATAACACTAAAAAATATTTATGTTTCTGTTTAATCTGAAATTTTTTTGGATATTTACTTCATTCTCCTTAAACGATCTTTAAATTATTCTTTAAATCTTTCAAACTCTTTCTTTCTAAGTTTATTTGCTTTAATAAACAGGTGAATGTTCTAGTCTCTATTTTAACTGCTAATTTGTTGATACATCTAACAATATCCCACTGAAAAAAATTTTCTTTTACTTTATGTAATCAATTTTTCCCTCAATAATTTTCTCTTCACCTTTGAATTTTCAGATTTAGTTACAGATTTCTGTAATCTAAAAATTTCAAAAATCCTCAAAATTATAAGAGAAATGCATTACTATCTTCCTGTAAAACAACACATTCTTTCCCGAGTAATGTCATAAACACATTTTTTATTTTGTCATAGACCTTTTTATTGCCTTTTTTATCAACAATCATGGGCTTAATTCTTGCCCTCAAACTTCGAAAGAACTTTTCCAATATATAAAATCTGAAGTAATAGAGAAAAACTGTCTTAACAATCAACACATTGCCATATTGCCAACTTTCTAAAAGTGAAAATTAGAAGACTTTTTTAATGGGAGGGGGAGAATCAGAATAAAAAATGATTTTTATGGGAATAAACTGCCAAATATGTGAACTGAATATTCTGAGCCAATACACAAGGAAAACTATTATCATCAAAAATGTAAATATGTAAATCATTTGTATCAAAAATATGAACACCCCCTCCCCCCAAAAAAACCTTTTTAAATACTTCTTGCAGCATTTCTTGCTTTCATCGAAAGAGTGTACTTAAATGTTACTTTTTTGTAAAAATTTAAGAGTAATGCATTTTCATTATTTTAAAAATATCCTAATTATCATGCATGTGTAAAATGAATGTGAAAATTAGTGTTTTCAGAGTTTTTAATTAATATCTCCGATTTCAGAACTGATTTTTTTTTTCCTGCAGGGGAAGAGGATGTCGACCTCTTCCAGGACACAGAAAAGAATGGCAGAAAGTTTTAAGATGACAGCTATAGTAGTGACTGAGTTAAATGCGAACAAACACACAAACAGACATTTTTCTTTATATATATATATATAGATTACAATTTTTTTTTATACTGTGAGGATTATGTTAATTTTCCTAACAGTTAAATTTTGAGTTAAAGTTCCTTTCCTATTGTTATTTATTTCAACTTCTGGCCAGAACGTAGTTTTAGAATCACGTTTGAATGCAAATTGAGGAGTAGTATTTAACCGCGAAGTACTACTGTCTTAGTCAAAGAAAATCAGTGATTCTGGCTAGCACGTAGATAGCTTCGCAATGAATTAGTGTTAAGGGGGCCAACTCTGTTAGAAGTTTGATAGCTTCGGCTATATCTTTTAAGTTAAGATTAGTTTTGGTTTAGTTTTTAGTATCTTAAGTTCAAGCCCGAGTGTTGGCTTTATTGTAAAACTCCAAGACGGAGTTCTGTTAAACTTTAATTTGGAATAATAAAGGGTCTTTAACCCTTTTTAAGTCTTATTCACTGTCTCACGAACTCAAGCAATTATTTGCTTACCAAGTTCTTAAGATTCTTCAAATTCAACTGTAACTTAAAGTACACAGTACAGAATCTTATAATACAATTACATATTTTTATTTATAAATAGACATATAGTCTTTCATATAATAAATAATATTAATTGTGGAAAGACTCTCTGCTTAAGTAGAAGAATCCTATCACAATGGACTTTACACAAAAATGGTTTACTTTTAAATTACACATGCATACTCAAATCAGAGCTGCTTAGGAAAAAAACTATCATCAAACAAATCTCATTATTAATACTGCACATATAGGAAATTACTGCATTAAAGAAGTCAAGAGATCCCTTACAGAGTCTTCAATTAAATAATTATAAGTGTTTCCAGAAATAGAAGCAGCTTCTCTTAACATTAAGAGAGAGAAAAAAAAAAGACTTGAATGACTAGCATTTCATGATGTTATCTGCTACAAAATGAGCACAACCATGGGACCTGGAAAAAAAAATTCTCCAAATTTCAACAAACATATTTGTTTCCTGGTTTTCTTGCTGGATAAATTATGCATCACTTTTAAAACATCTCTTAAAATTAAAAAAACTTTCAGCAGTCCAAATATGTGTCCTAGAGGTAACAACTTGACTGCTACATGAGAAGGCAAAATAAACAAACATTCAAGTTGAATAATTAATGATGAATTTTCTATTAGTAATCACTGAAGTTAATTAAAAAATACAGTATGGTTTAAGGTTTTTGAAAAAAAAATTATAAACATATGAATAACTAAAAATAATAAACAAGTTTTAAAAGCACTTGAATTAATTTTTTTTTAACTCTTATAAAATAATTTCATGAAATATTACCTGCGAGATTTTAAAATGACTTGCATTTAATTACAATTCATATTATAAGCATATTCCCAATAATCTATCAATTTATTTTTAATTAAAAAAATCTTTTACAGAGAAATATTTCTAATTACATTGGTTGCAGAGTATGAACTTTTTTTTTTTTTTTTTTTTTTGTGTTGTGTGTGTGTGTGTGAATATACAGCATCATTAATTTATCCACTATTATTCAATAAAACTGCACATTTATATTTAATGCAATATACTGAAAAATAATAATGTGAAAATGGCCACAATAAACTTTGTAAAAATTTTACCAAAACAACAGGTGAAAAAATAATTAATTCCTTATATATACAAAATTATTATGCTGCTCTGATCAGTATAGTGCAGTGGCTCACTAACTTTTTTTGCCTCATGCACACCTTTCATTGTTGCTAGAGGATCTTTCTCCCTCCAATCCAAAATTTGAAAATATATATACATTCATTTAATAATTACTTACATATTAGATAACTTTTTAATGTGTTTCAAAAATTAAATAAGAAATAGTACAGAAAATGTTGATAAATACCAAAACTTGAATAAAAGAACTTTTTACATTTATAAACTAGAAACTAAATACTTAAGGCTGATCGCATTCTCCTTCTGAATCTCTGAAATTCCTCTGGCTGAGAACCTCTGGTACAGATGTTAGTTATGCTGGCTATCGTGTCGATGGGCTGAGGTTCAGATCTCCAAAATGGCTTAGATATTTGTAAGTATACGGTGGCTTCATGGCATGGGAACATTTAAATACAAGGCAAGCCAATAGTCCTTTTGAGTGGCTTATGGAAGGGGAAGAGAGGTGGAGAGACCCCCAACTTCCTTTTGAGGATTCTCCTTCAAAATTATGACAGAGTTGGGTAAAGATAACTTATTACCTATAAGGTGTCTGAAGCCTATACCAATAACAGATGTAATCCTAAATTCCTTGCCATGATAAAACTTCGAGATTCGTTTCCGATCTTGTGCTATAGTAACCTTATAAGAGTTTTGTGAAATTTTTTAATCTTTTTTATAGATATTAAAAAATCTATTTACTACATATATAGCTTAGTTCCACTTGAAAGCAAAACTCAATTATCATACAGTCACCTATTATGAATAATTCATTTCATACAAAATACTTGGAAAACACTCAAGATATGCAATTTCATTTCATCCATTTAGACAATATTTTCCCTTCTACCATCTTTCAAAATACACAAGCTTACCTAAATTATTACTTTGATTACATATACAGAATGAATTCAAACTTTGTGAAATATTATATATGCTTTGTAAAGCTTCTAGGAAAAGTACTCATGACAGTAAGTAGTATAAGATAGCAAGAAAATTAAGGCAGAGAAGTGGGTCTCATGCTTCCACAATGCACAAAAGTACCCTTGGTTAAGACAAGCTGAGAGTTCATAGCTTATGTAAATAAAATTAGAGCTAAATGGTTATTAAGGAAAAAATAAATAGAACCTTTGAATATTTTAAGTGCAATATGTTAACATGGAATCTTTTCCACAGACAGACAGTTTGAACTCATTTTCCATAATATAAAGGTCATTCAAATGTAATAGATAAAATACTAGATTTAAATGTACTTTATGATTATATACATATTACATACATATTATACATATAAAAGTTTATACTATATATCATTGCTAATCACACTTTCAAATTGGTACTTCTAGTATTTAAGAATCTCATAAGATTATAGATAGCTCACACACACATAAGAAAGAGAGTGTTACAGAATACCCATTCTATGCAGACTTACAAAGTTTGTCATCGAAAGTGAACCAGTAAACTTTCAGTAAGTATTTTGGAAGTTCAAAAGTGATTTGGAAATATGCCTGAACTGTAAAAAGTATGGACAAAACACTTTTCCACACACGCGTGGTAGATTATTGTTAACACAAATTCAGATTTGCGGTTTTGCAGGTGAGGATGGTGGTTCGGTAAAACCATTGAAACTAGTCCTGTGAAAATTTTGTAAATATAACGCTGATTTTTGTTGTTTGACTTCTGAATTAGTATTTATTCGGCGCTTTATTGTGTCTTAATTATTGTTAACACATCTGCTGACTGTATATGTCCCCACAAGAGTAAGAAATACAGAGATTTTCTGGACGTCATTCCATTCTTGGCTGATTGCTCTCAGGATTTCATTGAGCATGTTGCTGTATATTAGCCTCCAACGATAACTCCACTGAGATTTAGCCACTCAAACAGTGCAAGACATGCATCATTGAAGAAAACACCTTACGAGTATTCACACATGAAACAGTCAAAACAGCTTTTTTGACAGGTTGAATAAGAATGTGTCTAATTTACACTCATGTGTTTCTGGGACAGTAACACGACTCCTTCTTCTTGATATGGCATAAGGTTAGCAGTTTTTATGTATGTCGATAGTGGCATTCTCATATGTCACAAAGTAACTTGTGGACAATATTTTTGGCTGCTTTTGCCCATCTACTCTCAGTAGATTATTGACCATGTTGCTATAATTTAGACTAGAATAACAACTCCACCAAGTGCAAGCCATTTTTGATCAGTTTGCTAATCTTTTCTTAATGTTTCTGTTATTGCACCAAAATAATTGCACCATGATTGATCACAGGCAGACTTGGGTGGAATCATCTTGGGGTGGGGACTTGCTCTTCCTGATAAAGCATAATGTCACTAGTTCACTTCCAAGACAGAAATTTGTAAACTTAGTCTGATGAGCAACTTTTTTTAACTTATTAATATCCATAAACTTATAAACTAACTGCTTATATGCTAAGTGTAGTTGTTTCTATTGTCATTATAAAATCAGAACAGCAGATCTATTCACATTAAATCAAAAATGAATAATTTCAAAATATTAAAACAAAGATGCAATTCATAAGCTAATCATTCGTAATTGCTCGAGAATAATGACTTTTGGGAGCTTAGACCTCAAAAAGAAATAGTTTGATCAGTATACCTGGAGATAACAGTATAGTGTAAAACATCCTTCAAAAATCAAACCACAGAAGCAAATGAATTTTCTCTGTCATCATTCATTAATCATTACTGAAATTTTTAAGGTTAGTGCTTAGTCAAACTTATTCAACAGATTTTTTAAATTTTTAATAAACTTGCATGTAAACTATTGTTACATTTGTTTTTCTGGAATAATGCAAATGCAAATGACTAAGGTAACATAAGGACTGCAAAGGCTTTGCAAATGTAACTTTTGTAATTATCAAATAAAATATGTGTACCTCCAGTATCTAGTCCAGCTTTTTCTAATTTTTCTTTCACTGCTTGTTCTAATTTTTTACGCTGCACAAAATCCATTTCATAAAGTTTACCGCTGGAATCTGGTGACTTTCGATCTAACCTTCTAATACGAACATGCAATTTATCATCATCAAGTACTGCTGATTGCGTTTGCTCATCTTCTATCACCTTTAAAGTACCTATAAGCAAGACATCTTACAAATCATATGCTGTTAAGGGCAGCAAAACAGTGTCATGCATAAGCTCTGAAATAAGCTACAAGAGAAATTAAACTCTTTGGGGATGACTGACATCATGTATATAGACCAAATCAGACTATGGTGTAAAAGATGACATACCATGCATATTGAAAGAAATACTGCAAAAGATGGCAGACAAATTTTTATATTTTCAAATTAATTTCTTTTAAATAACAAAATGGCATTTTTTTAACCCATGGCCATGAATGAAATATTTTTTTAATACATCATAGATCACACATTTTTACTGTTTCCTTTTTAAGGAGATAACAAACATGTTTCTAAGATATAAAAACTAAATTTTAACCTCTAAAGAGCTCTGGTGAGCCTCAGCATAAATAAATACATGCTGATACCTGACAAGTTCTAATGGTTTTTCTTCCCCCCTTCCCCATCAAAATAATATTTTCCTCTCAATAACAGAGTATATCAGAACATTAGACATGAAAGTATACCTAAATAAAAATAATAGCTAATTAAAATATATAAAATATTTTTTAATTGAGCATTTTCACAGATGAAATTTTTGTTATTAAAAAATAATATATCTGTATTCAAAAAATAAATCTGTATGTGGAAAGATGGTCCAAAATTTGGATTCTGACTTTTATTTTTTTAATTTTTTGTGCAAATTTAATGAATTTTTGACTAATAAAGTCGACAATTTAAAAGCAATGTGTTGCCGTGGCTTGAAATAAAATACCTTTATCTTCCATGGACCATTTTTAATGCAATATGATACATAATTGATACAGTATTTTTTAAACAATTTTTAAAGGTCTTTTACAATTAGTTAAAAACAAACCCTTCTTTGAAGTGTTATACTGTGATCTAAAGACTTCAGATGCAACTGTCTTCCCTAGCTGGACACATGCTAATAATGTTTTAAGAAATTCTTCAGTATCTTGTTCATTACACTTAGTCTATTCAGTTTATCCTATGTCTTGTGAAATTATCATCCTTTCTTGAACTTTTTCAATGCTCTTTGAGAAAGATTTACTAGTTTTCATTGCATAGGTAGAGAGAATGAGTTTTATTACAAAAATGATACATACAATAATTGCTAGAGGACAAATTCTTCAATAAAAGAAAACAAATGAAATAATAGATATTTGAACTAACATCAGTATTGCCGGCACAGATTTTTTGGATCTGTTCATGAAAACTTGTTTTTAAACAGCATTCATTAATTAAATTTGCATAACTACTTGTTTTAGTCTCTCTTTCATAAATTTCCATTTATTAAGATGATACTACACCATTAAAGAAAGTAAAAAAGCAAAATATTTAAAATTTATACACTAAAATATACCAAGTCACAAAAAATTTCATGACAAGATAAAAAAAAAGGTGGTCATGCCATTCAGGGGGATAAAAGATCTGAAAGAAAGAACTAAGCTGATCCTTATTTAATTGTTAAACAATAAGATGCTTTTATGCACTGAAAATATTATTAGAATAAATACTTATACTAATATTAGTATAAAATAACCATTTGCTCCAATAAACATATTGTTACGAATTTGGTATTTAAAAAGCTAATGTTAGTTCAATTATAAATTAAATGGTTTTATTTCTCGCGCAGTGCAGCGCGTGATGAATATTAAAAGAAAGCTAAGCCGGAAAATTGAAATACAAGAGCGCGTGCATTAAATAAATAAATATCTCTTTTGATTTCGAGAAAGTACTGGAAAAATTCTAGCGCGTGATTTTTAAAATCTTATAAAAGGAGGAAAACATCTCAGTGTAGTTAGTTGCTTGCTTAGTTTGTTGTTGTTTAGAAACTGCTCTTGTTGATTGTAGCGAAATTCGCGATTAGCGTTCTTTAGCTGTTTTGAATTACGTTCTATTGGACATTTGAGTAGTTAAAAGATAACTACTGTGAGATATTGTAATATTGCATGATAATTGAGAAAAATTAAGCATTTTTGTTGTGATAATAATAAATTTTTGTTCATTTTTCATCGGACTTGTGCATTCATTTCATAACGAACCCGTACGCACGCAACAATTTTTGGTGTCAGAGTGGGATTTGAATGCCAATAACAAGAGCGATGGAAGAACATTGAGACAGCTCATTAGTGCTTTTGCTGCCTTCCAAGAAAAGATGGAAGCTGGCCAAGCATCATTAAAAGAAGAATGAAAGACTTGTTAAGCAGGATTATCCGTTAAGCAGAAATGAAATCGGGACAGGAGTCCGTCAAAAAGTTGGAAACTGGCAAGTAACAAAGAAGACTAAAGCTGACAAGAAAAGACTGAAGCAGGTCAAGACGAAATGAAAGAGAAATTGCCTGCATAATAGAAAACTAAATTCGAGGCTATGGGAAGGCAGAATAGAAGGCAAAGACGAAATGAAGAGAAATTGCCTGCATAAATAGAAACTAATTCGAGGCTAGGAAGGCAGAAAGAATAGGACAAGCGGAAAGTTAAAAGAAAGATTTCTGCAGTGAGAGCAGCAATTGAAGAAAGAGTTTTTACCATCCAAGAGCAAATCGACACAACAGAATTGATGAGAGAGTTTCTGCATTGCCAAAGAAATGATACTTTAAAGAAATTCGTAGAGGATTACGGCAGGGAGCAGGAGTGATGATTTTAAATTCTACCAATGCCGCTCGTCCACTCTGAAGCTATCCACATATGATGGGAAGACTCCTGGCAGTGTATAAGACACAATTTTCTATCGTTGCGATGCGAATGGGATGGATCTCAAGCTAAGGCCTGTCATCTCGCCGCTTCTTTGAGAGCCGACGCAGCGGATATCCTGCAGACTCTTCCCGAAAAACCAAAGGTAGATTTGAAGCTCTATCCGGCGCATTGGAGCGCTTTGGAGAGAAGTGTTTAAAAGACTACAGCAGGCTTCAACTAAAATCCCGTCAACAGAAGCCTACCGAAACACTTCGGAGCTCGCCACGGATGTTGAAAGGCTGTCCCACCTCGCCTTTTCGGAGTGCCCGACAGAAACAAGGGAAATCCTGTCCCTGCAAATTTCGACGGCATCCGGGACCCTGAAATACAGAAAGCTCGAATGGCAGATGTGAAAGGACATAAAAAGCGCTCTGTTGTACGCCGTAAAAGTCGAGGCAGCCCAGCAAGCAACTCGTAGAGATAGCCACCCAGTCAGAGCTGTGCGAGTCCACGAGCCAGTGGATCAATTGATGGCTCATTTGGGATGATTTAGCCAGACAAGTCGAGCTGCTTTGATACGGAGTAGGAGTGCGAGAAAAAGTGGCTGTAAGGTGTTGGAGATGTGGTAGTGAAGGTCACCTAAAACGGAATTGCAGAACACCCAGGGTACGGAATATAAAGCAGATGATTTTACCAGACAAGTCAGTGGCTTGAGAGGAACAGAAGTGAAAAGAAAACTGAATTAAAGTGCTGGAACTGCGGAGAGTTGAAGGCCACATACGAAGAAACTGCAGAAAACACCCGAGGTACGGAAAATAAGACCCATTTCCCAGCAACGACGCAGTAAAAAAAGTGACCATATCGAGGAACGGAGGTTGCCAGATAATGAAAAACCTTGTTTTAAAAGCGCTTAAAATTTATACAGTGAGTGGCAACAGTAACGGAATGCCATTAATGGGAATATCGATGGAGTTCCTTGCAATATGATCATTGACACAGGAGCTAATGTTACCATCATTAGGAAAGATTTAGCTGAACAAGTTTAAAGATAAACTTATTTGGACGCCATCCTGTGTTACCCTTCAGACTGCGTCTGGTGTGAAAAGATCGACATAGCTGGGAAGTTAAACGTGAAAATCACGTTTGGAAGTGCCGCGCCTACCATCACACGCATATGTGGCAGGATATTACAGATCCATGCATACTTGGATTGGACTTTTTAAGGAAATACAATTTTCCTTAGACTTGAAAAACAACAAACTGCTTTCAGGATCTGAAGACATGACATCCATACTAAGAAAGGATCCTCACCTGGATATGCCGACGCTTTGTCCGAAAGAAACCAGCTCGAGAAACAGCCGAAATCATGCTAGGGTCGAAAAGAAACACCAGACTACCAGCTATTCTCCATCTCAGATGCTCTTCGGTCGAGACCTTTCGTCTGCCTTGTGACCGCCTGTTTCATCGCCGTACGGCTGCGCCTTCATCGCCTGAGGAACACATCCAAGATGTCAAGGCCCGTTTTGAAGTGATGCACCGTTCCGCACGAAAGCGAGTGAAACTTGGCGACGGAGAAGTGAAGAAGACAGATACAACGCGAGAGCTACGGAGCTCAATAGAATCACAAAAAGAGACAAGGTGTGGTTGTGGAACCCAATTCGGCGAAAAAGACGAGGAGTCAGGTCTGAATTACAGTCACCTTCGGATGGTCCATATACAGTCCTGAAGAGACTGAATGACGTCATGATCCGTAAGTGTTCGAACTCTAACCTTAAAGTCGTTTCATTACGACATGGTTAGCTCACTACTATGGCCATAGTACGTAATGTAAATAATTGTAAATAGTATAAGACCATGGTCCATTTTGTTTTTTAAATGTGTATTTGATTTGATTTGTATTTAGTATTCGATTTGTATTTAAATAGCATTTGATTGTGTTTTATTTATTGCATTTATTGTTCATGTTGTTTATTATTGTAATATAATGCTTATTAATGCATTTATGCCACAGTTGTAAGTTTAGCTTCCTGTCCAGGGATTGTACTGCCCGGGACGTGCAGTCCTTGGGAAGGGGGCAGTGTTATGAATTTGGTATTTAAAAAGCTAATGTTAGTTCAATTATAAATTAAATGGTTTTATTTCTCGCGCAGTGCAGCGCGTGACGAATATTAAAAGAAAGCTAAGCCGGAAAATTTTAAATACAAGAGCGCGTGCATTAAATAAATAAACATCTCTTTTTGATTTCGAGAAAGTACTGGAAAATTCTAGCGCGTGTGATTTTAAAATCTTATAAAAGGAGGAAAACATCTCAGTTTGTAGTTAGTGCTTGCTTAGTTGTTGTTGTTAGAAAACTGCTCTTGTTGATTGTAGCGAATTCGCAGGATTAGCGTTCTTTAGCTGTTTTGATTTGAATTACGTTCTATTGGACATTTGAGTAGTTAAAAGAGATAACTACTGTGAGATATTGTAATACTGCATGATAATTTGAGAAAATTTAAGCATTTTTGTTGTGATAATAATAAATTTTTGTTCATTTTTCATCGGACTTGTGCATTCATTTCATAACGAACCTGTACACACGCAACAATATATTAATATATGGTTCTTTTGGAACAAATGGTTATATTCGTCTAATCAATAAAGGAATCAGTAAATATCAGATCACAAATGGCTCACATCATGAACAAATCGGTTCACAAATTATCTGAACAACCGATGACAAATGCTGTCTCGAATCAGAAATAGTCAACTTGGCAACATATGATTATCAAATATCTTAACATCTGCCCTGAAGATAAGGATAGTGCTGACAGATATGCCCTGAAGATAAGGATAGTGCTGACAGAACATGCGTAGATGCATATGCGCATGCGTAAAGGTAATATGCGAATGCGTTAACGCATTATGCGTTGACGCATGCACAGAAAGTTTGTAGCTTTGAGATCTCGATTATAAACATACGGATTAAAGACTTTTGACTGTATATAATTAACACTCAAGGACTTCTGGAAACAATGTTTTAATATTTTTCATTCCTTGATTCTCATTAAGAAAGTTTGGCAGCAAATGACTAACGGGATCAAGAATTTGGCTTGGAGGAAATTATGACTGGACTGGGCTGCAAGCAGAGACTTTGATCACTTTGACACTCGAAACCTTCTATGATATTCAGCCTCTGCACAAAATCACGAGTTAGGAAGTTAACAATGAAATCAGCTCAAGAAAAAAGAACTAACAGTTTTAGAAGTGGCAGTAAAAGATGGAAAAAATGTCTTCAAAAGAAGATAAAGGAAGAAAAATTATCATATTTTTCTAAGCTGCAAAATTTGTGCAAATTGTGACAATGCCATGTGTCACTTTAAAAACATAGCTTCTACCTTGCTAATAGAACCTCACTTCGCTTCCCTGTCCAAAATGCCTACTAATTTTAAGAGACCAACTGTACATAGCAATTTATCATATTTAATTATGGTCAAATTATAGAAATGTATCGGATTTCATTATGACTGGATAAATATCTATGGAGATGATTTTATATGCATGGAAATAAAGACTGAAAATTCTTAAAGTTCATGTTTTATTTATTATCTTCATCTGTAGGCCTTCCCCATAAGCCACAACAACTGCAAGCTGATGACAACAATGACGTTAATTGATTCCTCTTCTATGCTTCAAAAATATTACATATAGCTAAAAGTCGATACAGGATTACTGTTTAGTACGGTGAATACTCCAATGAACTCCCAACAAATTCCAATGACTGTGCCCCTGCCCCGAAGAGAGAAAGAATAAAGAAAAGAGTGATTTACTTTTAATGCAGTGTGTTCAAGGTCGTCCATATCTAACATGTGGAGTGAAAGCATTGGAAAAAATCGTGTGACGACATCTGGATAGTTCTAATGCTCTGTGTGCCCGTACGCAATGTGCAAAGTGATTCAAGATTGGTGCTTCAAATTTGAGTTTTCAGTACATTAAGTGCAAAGTGATCGGTGAAATTTTTTTAGAAAAGTGTATCGTGATTCAACTTAGTATTTTGGTATAATGTGAAATCTTAATTGTGTGTTCTACTAATAAGGTATGAAAACCCAATCTCAAGCAAAAATGTCTATGGAAAAAAGTGAAATTGCAGTGGTAAATGTGAATAAATTTCAGTGTGCCATTTTCGACGGATCAAAACGCGACATTACAGTGGATAAATATTTTCTATTGTTCAAAAAGAAATTAGAAATATTACTAAAATACAAGATTGTATAACTTTGGCTAGGAAATTATTTCCTAGTCCAGTTTGTTCTACTTCAGATTCAATGGGCAAAATACGTAAAAAACAAAATTTTTTAATTCCAAGACAAAGTATACCTCTAAGTTCTTACCAATTTAGACCAAGACCATTTTTCAAACCTAAGTACTATGATCCTCAAAATCATGTCTGTAGAAATCTCCAGCCACAACAAATAGCTTATCTGTATAGATAATTTCCTTTGTTAAGTTATAATAATAATGAAGATTCTCAAAAAAAAGTACACAAAAATGGAATATATTTTAAAGCAAATGTTCAATGTAATAAAAATTTACCAGGTATCATCAATACTGGGACACAGGTAAATGTAATTTCTGAAAATGTTTTAAATTCTATTGATGCAAAAATGAAACTTCTAAAAAATTATACTAACACAAGTTTAAATTCAGTATCAGGAGGTCTTGTTGTGACTAAAATAATTATAAATTGTTAAATAAAATAGGCAGAATATATGTTGTAAAGATCAGCTGTTCAGGATATAAAGGTTAAAAAATGTTGGTTTAACACAAAGAGTAATATATGGATGGAAGATGTATATTTAGACATCTCAATTCATATATTATTGACACGTGGTCAAAATTTATCTTGCTTAGTCATGAACATTTCTAGTTCACTTGTCATCGTGAACTAGCATTCCACAGAGGTGTACCAAGTAATAGATTACAACTGTTATAAATGGATGCATAGTAGGTAATAGATTACGTATGCTATAAATAGATTTCAGGAGGTAGCAGGCCAAATGTGTTACCTTTATATTATATTGGACCACACGTGTTCAGCAAGGAACAGACTTGGAAGGAATGGAACATGATGCTATCCAAGGATGGTAACTGGCCACTCAGAGGTATAATGGTAGCCATTAAACATACAGGAAAGACCACAAGAAGATATTATAAGTCAGTAATGCTCACATATTAAAACACTGGGTATTGAAATCGTATGATTATGAGGTATTGGATACATATGAGATATGTTCAATTCCTGCAGCCATGAGATGTTCTTAAAGTTCAGCTGTGAGAGTCATAAGCAATATATAGTGCTCCAATCATTTTGTGTCTCTTAGATGAATGTGTCTTTCAAATGAATTCAAATTTAGAAAACAATTAATGCATGTTGTTATAAATCAACTTTTTAAAATTTTTTGCAGTGAAAGATTTCATCATCTTAAAAATTATATAACTGATTCTATAATACTTTAAAAAAAAAGTAAATTTTTATTTAATATGAATAATAAAAAGAAGAAGAAGAAGAAGAAGAAAACTCTTATATGAAAAATCAATTACAGAAACAAAACCATGTTTGATAATGTATGAAATTCTTGTTCATGTGCACTGTAATCATGATCTAATGTGCAAATGAATTTCAATAGGATTAATTTTTAAAAACTTTAAAGTTAAGCAATGGAAATGAGGCAAAAATTATGCATTCATGCACATATTTAAAAGAGATGAAAGCCATAACACTGAAAGATTTTTTTAAATATTATTTCTGATAGTTTTCTGTAAATCAGGCTTAGTATCAAAATTCTGCCATCCTTTACTGTAAACCTCTTCTGAACATCAACTCTTCAGCTATTTCATGGTGAAACTCTTCAGCCATCCGCAAAGAGTTAAAAGAATTCAACAATACCTACAGCAGTGATTCACTCAGATGAATGAAAGTTATAGATCCATTGCAAACTTATTAATAATTGCTTGTGTTAAACATGCATATTCTTAGATGCTAATTAAAGCAGCATTTACAAGACCGTTTTTCTCAAAAGAACTTACCTTTATCAATCTCAACTGTCTTTACTTTTATTTCAGAATCACTAGTCTTCGAATCATCATCTGCATCATGGATAAATTGATATATCAATGAATAAATATTAACTGAAGATGACAAAATATGTATGCAAGATGATTAACTAAAATATGTATGCAAGATGATTAACTTGCAAAATGCACAAGATACATAATTTAATATGAAGCATATAATGAACAGAAACTTGCATGCATATGGATTCATCACAATATTTACAACTAAAAAATTAGTACAGTCAAAAGTCATTAATTTGCACACCCATAATCCGGAATGATCTATAATCCGGACCTCTAAGCTAAAAACTTTCTGCGCATGCGCCGTGTTGACACATGCGCATAGGCGTTTACGCGTGCGCGTAAGACCTTTTACTTCTGCGCATAGGGGTTTACGCGTGCGCGTAAGACCTTTTACTTCTGCGCATATGTGTGTGCGCAAGCAAACAATACGTTTTCGCATGCGTGTTTTATGTATAACGGACAGTATAAGCTAAAATTATCTAATTATCTATTTCAGTTAATGTTGATGATTGCGTTGTTCCTTAATCTTCAAATTGGATCCGGCTTATTATTTTTTGCAGACTGTAAGAGCAATACTAGAAAAGTAAACTTGAACTTTCGATTATGTCAAATAGAATTTCCGATTCTGGAGCTCCCAAAGGATCGTACAAAACAAAAGTATGTTTCGATGTCCATCAAACAAAAAGTGGAATTGCTGCAAAAAATGGATAAAGACATGAAGAATGTGACAGAGAGGTTAGTGAAAACGAAAAAATTTCGATTGACAAGTTAGTCGGTATTCTCGGCACAGCAATTAACGGGACTTGAACAGCGGAACTTTGTAACTGAACAAGAAATTATGTCTGTTTATAGAATTAAAGAGAAAGTATTATCACATAAAATGAAGCAACTTAAACAACTTACATTGAAAGAAATGTTTAATAAAGTAAACAAATAAATATAAAGCTTTTTTTTTTTTTTTTTTTTTTTTTTTTTTTTTGTAAATTTTGATACCCTTTGGATCATAATTGTTCTTTATTTCATAAATTACGGTTTCATATTTTTAATTTTAGAATTTCTGCATGCCATCTTAAGAGATTTAAACTGATGATCTGTAATCCGGAAAAATCGATAATCCGGAATCGCCGAAATTCCAACTAGTCCGGATTAACGACTTTTGACTGTACATGTGACAATGGCTACAAATCAAAACCATGCTAAGGTAAAAAAAAAATGAGGGAACTACAAAATTAAACATTAAATATTAATGTGGAAATTATAGATACTAATATTACAGATATACAATTTTGCTTTAGTTGTTAAAAATATAAGTATGACTCTAGACACCCATGGTTATTTTAGTCAAGTCACATAAAGAATGATGTTGGAAATATCTCAATCAGTGGCATTAATAGTATAAATGCTTATAAAAGTCAGTAACTAGATATATCTATAAATACTTTAGTAATGAAAATTATTAAGAAATACATTCTAATTTTTTATTGATAACACGAAAAGATTATTAAGAATTTTTATAATTTTATTATTATAATTTGGAAAGACAGATTTTCTGTCCAAAATTGAGCCAGCTTAAAAAACTGGTCTGCAAAGCAACATGGATGATTAAAATGTGGTAATATGACATATGAAAAACTGAAAAAATAAATTACGGGTGTTTCAAACATTAAAAAATTCAGTACTTAGGTATTATCTTGCTAGCCAAGCAGGCAGATTTAGCAGAAATTGTCACCAAACAGGGCGATTTAGCACCAGTTATGGATAAAATCGAAAGTAACAACAAATTCAAAACATCTGCACTTTCATTTGATGTTATTTTAGGTTTCCAGCTTTCATCTCATGTGATGCACTGGGTAAAGCACTGGTTTCTTGTCAATTACTAGAGAACACACTGGACACTTAATAAAGGCACTGCTCAAAGGACAAGGCTTTTGTAAGCAGACACTATGAAAATATCTTCAAAGCATGCTGAAAACAAAAGTTCCTTTGATGTAGGAACAACTAACTAACTATAGATTCTAAAAAAGATCTATGAACAACTGATTTTGGAAAATGATGTGAGCATTGGCAGATGTTATAAGAATCTGGAAAAACAACGTTTTAAATCACTTAATTTGAAAAATTTTTTCACTAAAGTGTCAAAACCTGGCAGGCTGAGATGCCTCATAATTTATCCTCAACTGTTGGATACTTGTTGTTATTATTTGAAGGAAAACCACAAGTGCCTCGAGGTTGCATTTGAAAAAACAAGTGAAATAGATAGAAATAATCATGCATATTTTTATACATAGAGAGAGATTAAAAAGCCTAACTATCTGGCATTCAACTAACCTGAAAGCTCAAGTAACAGGAATTTTTTTATAATTTTAGAAAACGTTTTCCCTAAACAATTTAGTGCCTATCTAGAGCTCATACACATTGTCCCCAGATGGTGAAAATGAACACCAATAATGATAAGCAGGACGTTATAACACAATCATAAAAAGCTCCTTTTTGTTTAATGTAAATTCAATTAATTCTCGATAAGATGATTTCTTTTATAGAAGGATATAAATTCTATTTTTCCTCACATCTTGAAAACGAAACAGAACACCAGAGACGAACCCTGCCATGTTACCAGACCTTCCGGGAATTGCATCCATACTCCGGATACCATCTAGGGAGCTGCAAGCCCCACTGGTCCCCCTTGGGCTTCCATGAAGCATGGGACCAAAGAACGTTATGACGAGTTTAAAACGAAGACTCTTTGCCCCGATCACCACTCCGGGAGCATCGAAAAGGGTGGTCCATACCAGTACAAGTCCCCCCCCGAGGGACCCAAAGATAGCCACATATCATATGATGTAACAACTCCACAGCCAAGGGGCAGACACGACAGTACCAGTATGGTCCCTGCCAAGCCTTAACCATCCTAAGAATAAACTCAGGTCTAGTCCTGTGAAGAGTGATTATATACCTCCGTGGTTGAGACAGTCTAAGTACAGATCCTAGCCAGTACTTCCCAGGAATTCTCCTGAGTCAACCCCCCTGGGGGGGATAATATATGAGACAGCATGAAGTAGAGTATTTTCAGTATTATAGGATCTGGACATAGAAAAAAGTCATATATTCACGTTTGAAAGTGGATAAAAAATGACAATGTAACATGAAAAACTATGATAAGTAATTTATTTTTTATATGTTATATCTGTTATTTGTATCTCTTCAATACTTAAATGAATAAAGAATGATCTGTTTATTTAAACTTTTGCCGGCATGATCAGCATCATCTACACCAACCTTCAGGTTTGGTAGGATTTCATAATCAGACAAGAAGTTTTACTTTCATGTTTAACAGTTACGAAATGTGCTGGCTTTCTTGTTTGAAATGTGTAAATTCTTTTCTTTCTTTTTTTTTTTTTTTTTTTTTTTTTTTTTTAATCTCAAAAAAATTTTAAATGTAGGCTTTTGATATAAATTGGTAAAAAATAAAAAGGTTGTTGTTTTTATAATTTCAGAATGGAAAATTTTCACATTCATTTGGCTTTTCTGATTTGAGTTCAAATTTTTACATGTTCAAATGTTTGGAATTTTGCATGCCCGAGCTTTCTGGAGAGTCAGGCATTTACTGTACACAGCACTTTTACTCAATGATAATATTAAACATCACTAAATATGTTACGCTCCGAAAGTACCATGGATATAACATAACATCTTGTATTCCATTCAGCTATCTTTGAGGTCATATAATTTGCATGTGACTACCAACCAACAAATTTAGTAAATTAGATATTAAGCACCTTCCGCATTTGTCTCAAACTTAAATGTCCAGATATTCTTCCTTTTATTCTTTAATCATGGCAGTTAATAAAAGAGACAATTTGCATAAACAAAACTTAACGGCTATTTATTGAAATGTAATTTGAGGAAATTTGAAAATGATAAATTATTTTCCATTTTGGAATACATTTTTCATTAACATAGTATATAATCAGTCACCTCTGACAAAAATACAAAGCTCACATCTTGATTTCATAACATTGTGAAATTGTTGATCAAATCTTGTGAAACTGCCTACAGGTTCCAGGTAGGCAACACGACACTGATGTGTTGAATTTTAATTATTTTCATACGACAATACTACACATTTCATTGCTGGGCATTCTGGCTTCAATAATACTTCAAAAATCTAATTTGTCATTTTCTGTGAATAGGTTAAAAAACACTTTTATTTATGAACTATTTACAATTTATCTATATATCCTCTTCATAGAGGTCTTCTCAGTTAAAAATATAACAAAAACAAATGTAAAATAAGTACAACATAAAAATGTATCATGCTCTATTTATACTTTTCAGCCTTTATTTTCAACATTTACTTAAAGCACTTTTTTAAGTGACAATTATTAAGTTTTACTAATAGCTAGAATTGAATGAAACCCTGTTCTGTCTTTCTTGGTTCATAAGGTAATAAAGTTATGCAAATTTAAAGGTTTGTGACACAGTTTAAATCAGGGCTTCTTGAACTTTTTTCGGTAACGACCCCTTTTTATTACTGAGATTTTTTCGCAACCACAGGACTCCATAATATTTATGAAAATTTTATGGGACCTCATAAGCATTGCGGAAATCCGACACATGCGTGAGTGAAACTGTCAATTTTTTCACTTGTATTGTAATATACTATTACAGTTTTATGTCATTAACTTTTAATTTTTAATTTTAAGACATAGAACAATGTGAAAATTTTAAATAAGTAACAGAAGAAGTGACAGCGTCATGTACAAAGCAAGTAAAATGAATGTTTATATTATAAAAAGAATGTGTCAAAACATTTTGTTTTTTCTTTGTCTGTATTGTCTTATCTTTATCTAGTTTCAGATACATTGTGTAAAAATATTTGGTAATAGTAAAATTATTATAATAAGTTAAAGAAATATTAAAACTGCTAAAATTTTTATCGACCCCCTGGTGCAGGTCCTGCAACCCCCTCGGGGTCATGTCCCACAGTTTAATAAACTCTGGTTTAAATG